TATGAATAAATAAGTTTAAAAAAAAAAGCTAATCCTCTTACAAGACAAAATCAACATGTCTTAAAATTCCTATGTAAAGTCCTGAGTGCTAAGGAATAATATGGAATAAATGAAAGACCAACGGAAAGCTAAATGATCACATTTCCTGTTGGTTGAATACGACCCACACATACTACTACATTCCTCGGCAACACAAAATAAGCATCACACTAAGTTCACCCAATTATCACCTACTCCCCAGACCATTGATTGCTCTTGCTTCCTCTCTTACTCCTGAGAGTCTGGCTCTCCACCCAGTAGCCAAGTGATCTTTATAAAGCATGAGTCATATCAAATCTTTCCCATGTTTGGAACTCTCTTGTCAACCCAAAACGCTGATTAATGTCTCAGGAGACTTGTGTCTGACACAAGTTCACAGATTAGTCTACTTGAAGATCTGTGGTTGTCATCTACGACAGGGGGAGGAGACACCTCAGATCTCTACCAATGTAAAAGTCAAAATCAGTGCTGATAGTGCCAGGCAAATGCTAGCTGCAATCACTGATGCCTGATAATCAGCTTTGTAACAGCAGCTGCCAACTAGCAATTATGTCAAAACTCCCTGCAAGTATTTTGGACTCTCTCATGCAGCTGCCAAAATTGCCAGCATTGCCATACAGAACTGGAGCAGATCCTAGCATTTTATGCCTTATGTTCATTGGCATTCAGAACTTCTCTTCATTTCAGATTCCTTTCACTGGGTTGGAAACATTCTTGAATCCAATTTTAAGGGTATTGTTACAAGGCACCCCAATGTGAATTGGGTCTGTGGCTCTTCACCCGTGCGCTTACGATTCAATCGTATTATGGACACACACAAAAGGTTAAATAATGGATTTATTTATAAGGAGAAAGGTAAAGGGATAACCCAGGGAAAGAGGGAGAGAAACAGGTTAACTAGGATGTCCTACCAGTTCTGCTAACGCGGACTCTACCGGCACGCTGAAAACCGATTGAGCACCAAAACGATCAGCTGCGAACCACCAGGCCAAGAGAGCCCAAGAGCCCACATGTCCAGTTTTATCCCAACCTCGCTGCTTAGCTCCGCCCTCACATCCCTGCGTGCTTCTTCTTGGTACTGATGGGATTTGGAGTTCCAGCATCTGGAGTAGGGGCGGAGTCCATGAAACCTGTACCTGTTACAGTATGTTTCCACTTATGGCTCAATTTCTAGAAGACTACCTGACACAAGCTATGCAACCTCTGTCGAAAGACACAGTATGGGTGGAGGGGAAATGCTCTGAAAAATCAGACTTTCCACACTGACTTATGTTATGACCTCCCTTTTTTGTATAATCGTAATATCAAAATATTCTGAGCAACCTTCAGCTTACAATTGGATTGCCTCAGCCTCAGAAGGCGCTACCTAGCCCTGACAAGCAAGCACTGTACCAGGTTGAGAAATTCCTCTTGAAGTCAAAAGTCATTAAACAACTGGCTGATTAATAAAAACAAATGGTTGTTACTGCAAAGTCTCTCTCACTGCCAGAGGAAAACCCAAACCTTATCACTCTGCTATCTCACCATAGCCTTCTATTCAGTTTCTAAAAACCACTCAAACTTCCTACTATCTAGTCTTTAGATATGGATATTCACCCAAGTCGCCTATGCAGAGATAATCAGATTTTCTACCATCTAGACTTCAAGAAAACTCACTTAAACTTTCTAACAAGTTTTTCAAAGAATCTTACCTTAATTTAATTTACAAGAAATTTCCTCTTCCTGCCCTCACTTTACTTTACCCCCTAGGATGTCTCTATGAGAATGAAAGCCCTTAAGTAATAGATAATGTTTAAGGGAATTTATTTTGGTTAATCTTCACTGTGGTAAGTATAGTAATATTAGTCTTAAACTTTGTGAATCTATCTACCTGTTTTAACCTTGATAGATTGATTTTAAAAATGTTATAATCTCAACTAAAGGTCAAAACGACCCCAAACTATTCTTAGCAAAAAGGTGACTGTGATCTCAGCCCCTTTCATATGCTAATGTCATCCCACTGCCTGCTTGAAGTGTATAAAATAAACCTCTGCTGAAGGCAGAGCTCATTAGGATTCGGTCATTGCTGAAACTCAGCTTTGGTATATTTCAGCCCTCGGAGCTCATACCCACAGTTAATTGTGCTTCATTGATAAATGAACATGCAATTTCATTTATGTGCTCACCAATGATCACTATAAGTTTTCCTACTCCTGCAAGAATTAGGCAAACATTTGGTGAGTGATCTGTCCAATACATTTTGACTCCTGATTCTTTTCATTTGGAAGAGGAAACACCTTAAATAGCTGACCACTTGACCCCTGGTTTTCACCTTCTTAGAAAGATCTATATGCACTGTACTGGGGAAGCCCTTCCCCAAGTAACCACTCTTCACTGTTGGTGTAGTTTGCCCATTCTTCTTCATAGAATGAATCCAACTTTTTTTTTTTTACATCATTTTGTACATTTTTTTTCCATCTCAATTGTAATCCCCGTGGTTTTCCCATCACCAAGTCACCCGTGTGCCATCACCATAATCCCGTGCATTTCCCTCCCCCCTACCCTTCCACCTCCCCCCCCTTGAATGAATCCAACTTTTAACTCTACCCTCCACTTTCTCTTCTCTGTATCACTATACAAATTTTAAAGATCTGTATCTTTCCCCTTTGCTCAGTGTGTTCCATCTTTCACCCATAAGACTTCTCTATCAGTGCTAATCTCTGCTAGCAAATATAACTCCCAGAACTCAGAAAGTCCTCCCTGTTAGGTTTGGAGTAAAATGATAGCTGCTCATCTTCAAATAGAGAGGTACAGCTATTTCTCCCCAGAAACAACACTTCTTTCTTTTATCCACAAATTGCTAATGGTATAGTTGGATTAGTTTTAATCCCTTACCTTTATTCTTTTGAAATATATTTCAATTAACAACAAATCTAGGCAATAATATAGCAGAGAGCCTTGGAATTAAACAGAATTGGCTTAACAAGGGCCAGTTACTTATAATTACATAATGTGATTTAACATCTCTGATGCAGTTTTCTGATCTATAAGTAGAGATAATACTAATAGCTAACTGTTTTGCTCAGAGTTAAAAATAAAGTCATTTTTTGTGTGCGCTCACTTCAGCTGCACATATACTAAAATTGGAACAATACAGAGAAGATTAGCATGGCCCCTACTAATGGCCAACCTGCTGTTTGCTGAGTTTTGTTTGAAGTGATGATGTATTAAATTTTTTAAAAAGTCATTTTTATATCATGTTTTTGGGGCCTATTAAGCAAATGGGAATAATTACATGATGATAATGCTGATGATCACAATAGAGGAATCACAGTGATAATATTCAAGAAATCCCAAAACCACAATTCAAGGTATTAAAACTTTTATTAAGGTCAAATAAACATATTATAGTTCTATAATTAATCATAAACACTTATATTAGCCTTAAACTCCAATGACAATACAATCTTTCTATAAATACATCCTTATTAATAAAATAATTTAAATAAAATGTGTAATTATAACAATAAATAAATTCATAAAATATTGATTATGAGAATGAAGTTATTAGGGTTTTTTTTCCAAAGAACGAGAAGTTGTTGTCTTTGTGAAAATAGACAATTGCTAAATAACTTAACAGGTGTAAAACATCAACTATAATAAAATTGTAATAAATATCATTATGTTTAGAAAGTCAATTTTCTGGTTATGGACACAAGAGACTTTTTTTTTTCTTTTTTAAAATTCTGCAGAGACTTATTTAGAATCTATCCATGATTGTGGAGTTTAACTTGCCATTTCCTGTTTGGTAAAAGAAAAACCTTTGGGGATCTTATTGCTATTCCTAACAGGCAAGAATAGTTAGCTAGTTTCCAGCTTCCTTCTGATCAGCACAACTCTTTCTCAGCATTTCAAACAGAAGATTCACTTCTCCAGTTACCTTGGTCTTGGCACTCTCTCCAAGCTGTGAAAATAAAAACACACAAGTCTGTAAGCACTTATTTAAGTTTTCAAAGAGGAGCAAATTAGAGGGACGGTGGCATAGTTAGGATGCTAGAGACACAAACCAACTTTTAGCCTTTTGTAAAAATTTATAATACCACCCTTGGAGCAAGTATATGATATGCTTTGCCAAAAAATCTTAAAAAGTGTAACTAGGTAACTAAAAAGACACCAACTGGCATCAATCTCAAACATTACTTACACTGACTAAGCTGTCTTAAACCTCTGCCTGGCCAAAGAGGAGGGGAGCAGGGGGAAATCTGAGGGACCCAGGGTAGCACCCATTGTGTCTTGGTCATCTATGATCCATTAATAATTTTAACAACTCAACTCAGCTCAAAGAACACTGAATCAAAACCAAACCAAATGTAGTTCCTAAGATCCCTTCTCCTTTTTTTCCTTCTTCTAAGTAGCATGTAATTGAAGTTGACAAACACAATAGGAGAGAAACCCAAATTCAAATCCAAAAGGTCCTCCTCTGAAATTCATCTAATCTATTTCATTTGCTCTAAATTATTTTAAGAAAAAAGACAGACATCATTACTCTCCTTTATCCTATGTTCTCCCTTCTCTTCCTACCCCCTTCCACCATTCCACCTTTCCTTATTTCTTTTGACATAATACCAAGGGCTATTTTTTAGATCTCAAAGACTCCCAAGACTATGAACAATTTTAAAGTTTATCTTGCATGCCTATCTGACCTCCATTCTTCTTTGTTTTATTTTTATTTATTTACTTTTATATTTGCAAAGAAGTACTGGGGTGTAGGCCAGAGGTGTGGGGGCAGTAGACAGGGAATTAAAGGCTCCAAGACCACCCTACCATCCTTACCAGCTCTCCCTCATGTTTGGGCTTCCTCTCACTAACATTCCTCTCTCCCCTATGCTTTTTAGAGCTGGAGGGAGGAGAGTACAAGCAACAAAAGCACTCTTTCACAAGGCACCCTATTGAAAATGTGCAAGCTCATGCTCTCTAAATGGATGGCAAGCTTCAAAACCTTTGTTTTCTCATGTAGTGGGCCATTAGATTTTTCTAGCATATACTTCACCTTTCTACAGACAATGAAATGAGCTGATACTGGATTTTTCAAACAGAAGTGCAATATTTCAGTGTGCAATATCTTGGCATTTGTTCTACAGCAAGAGAATTGATCTTCACAGTGAAAAACTACAAAACCTTCAATTATCAAAGGCAGGAACAGTCACATTCATTAAATCATGCTCGGGAAATAACACTTTTTTAAAAAATCAAGTTGGAAGGGCCCTCCCTGGTGGCACAGCGGGTTAAAGCACAGCACTAAGAAGCTAAAGCCACTTCAGCATGAGTGGCTCCCCCCAAGGAGGTGATCCGCATGTCGCATGTCGCAGGTCACAGCAGACCTCTCCTGACCCACCCCTTGCTCCCTTCAGCAGTGTACTTCATCACTCCGACTGTTCTGCTCCCCACTCTGTCTCTGGTGAATCCTCTCACTGCCCCTGCACTTCTGGCCTGTACCCCAGTTCTGTATGCACAAATAAATAAAACTTTAAAAAAAATCAAGATGGAAAAAGGGAAGGTTAGGTTAAAGTTGTTACCGAAAACGGCATCAACTGAGCCTGCGTACTTCTGAGTAGTGAATTGCATCTGTTAGCTAGTGCACCACTTTTGCTGCTACTGATCAAGCCTCTGGTTTTTTGATGAGTCACAATTGCTAGACTGACTCTTCTATTGTTTTCCTCCCCAAATAGGCCACATTATAATATCATTCACTATAGAACCAGGCACAGCCTACACTACATAGATGCTCACTAGAGATTTGCTGAGGGACAGAGGAGACTAGAATGGAAGGGGAAGGAAAGGAAGAACAAAAAGGATTCCCAATTCAGACTTTCATTTCACCACAGTGAGCCCATGGCAAATATTTTCATAGTATTTGAAGTATATGCAAAGGAAATGAGGGTTTGCTCACACTTGCTTTTAAGATAAAATCAACAGATATTGGGAATTATAATGATCAAGTATATATATCACTCATTCTGGAAATTCATCCTCTATGCATTTATCTCTTTTGTTTTGTTTGTTCTTAGTTTATTTCTCAAAATTTTAGATCATCAAATTAATGGTTTCAAAAATCACTTCAAATAAATCTACCTCCAGGCACGTTTCTGTATTGGAACAAGTGCCCCTCCTTATTACATGAGTCCACAGGAATGTTAAATTTTCCTAAGAATGAATAATAATAATAACACGAATATGGATTGTTGCTGCTAAGAATGCTAGTCTGGGGGAGCACTCAAGGAGGCGGCATTCTAGCCTGGCTCTGCCACAGCAGAGGCGATTAGCTGACCCAACTTTCCAGACAACTTTAGAATGCCATAATTTGCAAAATTTGGAAATTGATTTATAGGTATATAGATACATCATACAGGCATCTAAATAATAAACCCAATGGTAAAAGAATTAAGTAAAATAAAAATCACAGTATGGGAGAGAAGAAAAATAATATTTGTCTCTGATATAAGGGTTTAACATCCACATTAGTACCTTTTTCACTGTGTCCTTCAGCTCTTGCACATTTTTCTGGATATGTGGGTTTTTGCTTTCAATGTGCTGCAAAATGAAAGCCAGAGTAACTATGTTAACCTTTGTTGTACTGAAACCTTATGAACCTCGGTTCCTAACAATTCACCTGCAATAAAAGCTGTTAGCAATTTTGCCCACGATAACCTAGATTTCACCAGTGACCTAAATTTTCTGAGCTCTTGAATTAATTTGGCCCTCAAAAGCCCATCCGTTTCCTTTATACAGGACCTCGCTTCACCTTTGGGAAATCCTTCTGAGGCTTAAGTGTGTAAAGAGTAGAGTGGTTTATGCAAATTCTCTCAAAGCTAAAACTTAAACTACACCTCAACAAAAATGCATGCTCAGAAGAAAGATTAAACGTCTGTGTGAAAAGTAGCTTCTTCATGAACACTAAGTCCCCTTCATTCTGCCTACTTCCCTCAGAACTTTCTCACAGTTAGAGATGTTCAAAGACATCAAGTTCTCACACCTCTGGATTTGTCACTTCCTATGACCTCTAAAGGGCAGCCGTCTTTACCCGTGCACCATGGAAAGTTAAATCCTTTCATTTCTCATTTGTCTCATTCCCATCCCCTCCACTGTCAATTCCCACTCAGCGGATCCACTTTCACCTCAAGGTGTTTTACCAAGAGTTGCTTTTTCCCAAGAGCTAACAAGTGTGCTTCCTAGTCACTCATCTTTTAGACCCCATTTATCATCATAAATTCCAAAGGCGACTCAATAAAAGCAAAATCATTCTGATTGCACATGCATATGACTCCCAAAATGATGGCTACGGCACCTCTTGCTGGAAGAAGGAGAGGTAGACAGTGAACCTGGGATGGAAAGAGCTCAAAGTGGAAGTGAATCATGGACTTAGCGGGAAGAGGAACTTACGCATTGGTTTAGTTTGTTGCTGAGTCTCTTCAGGAAGGACACTACCTCCGGCATGTAGGGCAGGAATCTGGATGATTCCTGTGAGAATGGCATCAGCAGTTCTTCAAGGGTGAAGTTCAGCACCTGCTTCATCAGGTAGCAGCGCTCTGTCTTCTGCTAGTGAAAGTGAAATGTAGGAGTCATATTAAAACAGGAGCCAGCAGAAGACTCAAGCCCTCACCGCCACCACTCCAAATGACCTCAGAGGACTTACTATGACGTGTCGAAACAGTTTGATGTCCCAAATGAGCCGAACATCTGTGTTCTTATCCTCTGAAGCAGCCTGCAAGAAAATAACAACCTAAGTGTGTACACATGAGCAGATCTAAGAAAAGCCTATAGAGGTGGAATGTGCTCCCTTAACTCTCCCCAGTGTACCCAATGAAGACTAAAAAGGAAATTCAGGTGCGGGCATGCATTTAAAAGAATGCTCAGGTGAGTAAAGGGGAAAACGAAGAGTCAGATGGGCTATAAAGTGCCTCCTGTTGGGGTAAAAGTCAATGTATGTATCTTAAAGACCCATGCGGTGACAACTGACTGGTTCTTAAAAATATTAGAAGTGCTTTGCAGAGACGACTAAAACCTATTCAGCTTGCAAGTAGATAGATAACAGGCAATCTGTACCCAACTGCCTCGTCTATAAAATACGACCTAAGTGGAAAGAAAGGCCAAGACGAGTACCTCCTTGAACAGCAGGTAGGTGTAGTTGGTGATGTACTCTGTGAATTCGGCCTTGTCAAGCTTGCAGAGAGACCCAATGGGTGCAGCTTCTCCTCCAGGCACTGAGAGGGCAATCAGGAGGAGGCAGCTGGCTGCCAGAGTCCCCATGAGGGAAAGGCTGTCAGATTTCTGCAGGGTGGCCATTGTTGATGCAGCAATGTGACAGTATCAGTGACCAGTGATGAGAGAGGAAAACCTACAATCAAGAGAATACGAGGCAAAAATACCATGAAGTAAACTGAGCATCAAATCTAAGTATCAAAACCAAGTATCAAATCAATCCCTCATACCAAGTTTGCTGAAGCACTCACCTGGTGGGGTGATTCTGCCTATGATGATCAGAAGGTAGAAGCTGCTGCTCTTATAGTCCTGGGACACCCAAGTTTGTGTGTGTGTGTGTGTAAAATAATGACATCAGCAATTATCTCATTTCCAGTGGTGTTTTCTGAGAACAGCTACCACGCGAGCCACAAAAGGCCACCACCTGTTTTTCCCACCTTGAGAAACAACTGTTTCCCTAAAACGTAACTATTAGGGTGACCAGAGGGTGTTTTTAAGACAAATTCCAGAAATTTTCTAAACCTACATTTTTTTTTCAAAGGAAGGAATTGCTGTACTTTCATAGAATCCAAATGTGTGCAAGACTTTTTGATCTCCTATAGTAACTACCTAAGCATTTTTGTCAAGGACTCATGTTCCCATCAGTTTCATAAATTCTTATCTCAGCAGAGATGATCAGAAGAAACAAGGGACTTGTGTCCTATATCCTCTGCTTCCAAGTAATACTAGTGACAGTTGGAGATACTTCCAACTGCACCTTAAAGAAATAAGCTTAACCTTAAAGAAGACACATTTTGAAAACAGCTGTATTGGCCATTTTCCTCACGTTCTGGGACTTTTTAAAAGCATCAGCAAGTACAGAGATGGAAATATTGTGAAAGTTTTTTCTTGACTTTTAATCAATATCAGCTTAAAATTGGACATTTTTTGTCCTGTGAATGAAAATATTAATGATTAAGTCTTCTGTGCTCATTTCTCAATGTAATCTTTTTAAGTTTTGCAGTAAATGATTCTTATTTAGTTTTTTTTATCACAGTAACATTGGTGTACAGTCTTCAGATCACTATTTTTTTTTTAGCCTATGATATACAATGAGTATCGTAGTTCATTTTGAAATGTTACCTGCTCTAAGTCAAAATAATATACATGTTATCTCAAAGTACTGTCCAAAACTTTTATGACAATTTTTATTATGCATTGGCATCTGAAAGAAGACATTATATTTTAAAATTCAACCTAAAAACGACTGAAATGCCTCTCAAAGGATGGAGCAGCATGGTCTACTCCTAGTGAAAGACATTGAATACACATTCAATGTGTGCAAATTGGTTGATCCCATTTTTCTCCTCACTGCTTGTTAATATCGAGAGTTTTGAAGAACTGAGGAAGGAGAGAACATAAATGTAGAATATTGAGCATTTTAGGAGGTGACATAGACAAAAGTGAGCAGCCACCGCGCAAGGTTAGGACAATATCAGGACACTGAGTGTTTGGGAAGTTGGCCTTACGAGAAAAATGCAAAAGGAAGAGTTAGGGAGACGAAACAGAAATGTGTGAAATCCATGTCAGACATTTGCTGGAGTTGTTTATGAGCCCAAGGAAAAGACCAGGAAACTCTCTATATCCCATTGCTTATTCTATCAAATATGGCCTCTTTTTTTTTTTGGTCTAGGACTCTGTATGATTACATTAGCACTACAGTTAAGCTACAGTCTGAATTAAATAAGCTTTTGCTGGCTTGACTGGGAAACTGACAAGTATAAATAGCTTTCTTCCCACGGGAAAGTACGTTTTGCCTTCATTGATTGATAAGCTTTTGAGGAAAGAGTCAGTGTGTCTTTCATCTCTGTGTCTCCAGCACTCAGAACAGTGCTACACGCTAGGGAAGCCATCAGAGCAGGCTGTGTGAGTGGATGAGTTGCGCTGCAAAGGTAAATAACTTAGCAAATCTTTGAAAATACCCAAGGAGCTAATTTGGACTCAGTCTTTATGGCATTCCAGCAGTTGGTGTTTGACCCAGTATTACTTGCCTGATTTCATTATTTTTCTTGCATAGAGAGTAATTAGGTATTAGGAAATTTGACCAAGATTGACTAAAGTAACAATCTTCCCTGAGACTGTATGAGGTATTCTAATCAGTCATATAGGGCTCTCAAAAACAGTTCTCAGGAGAGACTGTGTAGAGCACAAAACTGCTCCTATGAAATAACAACTAGATATATGCTAAATAATTTAGACATATGCTAAATAATTGCAGCTCATATGAGTCCACTCTTTAGCTGTTTCTTTGTGAATTTTCAAATCTTTTACAAAGCTGCATCAGATAAAGGGCAACCAAGCCAGCATCAGACTGTCAGACTCAACTGTCTCCAAAGTGGATCTGGGCAATACTTTTCCTAATGAAGTGCCAAGGAGGTCTAGTCCAGACCCCCACCCAGATGGTAAGTTTTTCTGTCTCATTCATTGGCTGCCCCCCCCAACCTCCAGAAAAGTACCTGTCCTGTGGCAGGAGGGGCAAACATATCCCCTGGCTGCCTTCTCCCCAACTCATCGGCTAATGATTGAAAAGTCACAATATATTCTTTGAAAGTTCACACCTCCTTCAGAGAAGACTTTAGATTTCTCAAGTAAGAAGTTTTGCTTTCAAATGCTCCTTAGTCCAACACACAGGGTCATTTCATCAAGATTGTGTGTGTGTGTGTGTGTGTGTGTGTGGTGTGTACACACAAGACCCCACCCTCATCATTCTCCTCCTTCCACACCACCCACCCTCCTTTCTGCCCCTGCCACGGGCCACTGCTCCAGCATGTTCGATAGCCCTGTCTGAATATGTGTGCCTCCTCCTGAAATATGAAGTGCTGCCTATGTGTAGCGGTATTTTCATTTTCTAGGAATAGGTTCTCTTTCTTAATTTTCCAGACAGCAGTGCTATGTCCAACAGTGCTATGTCTAAGACGACTTTCCATGGGTGTGTCCACCACATTTTACTCCCCCCAGTGAGAAGCGCCTAAATCTCCTCCATTCGCTCACTAAACAGACACTGCAGCAGTCAGCAACTTCATCCATGTTATTTTAATGCTATTCATTTTAGATCTTTGGCATTGTTAGCCTGGATGCGTGTTTATTTACTCATAGATACGACTGTTCTCCAGACAGGTAGCACCCATTGCCTCATATCAGCCACTTCAAGTTTATTTCTTATACCCTCACCCACGCTTGTGTTAGCAGTTTTAATTTTGTTGCTGTAGGAGGTTTGAAGTGGTATCTTACCATAGCTTTAATTTGCATTTTCCTCCATACACTTGTAAGGACCTGGGCTTCCCCCTTTTGTGAGTTGGTTGTTTACAGCAAGTGCCTATTTTTCTATGAGGGCTTTGATTTTCTGTTTTGTTTTTTTTTTTAAGATTTATTTATTTATTCATACAGAACTGGGGTATAGGCCAGAGGTGCAGAGGCAGTAAGAGGATTCACCAGAGACAGAGTGGGGAGCAGAACAGGCAGATCAACAAAGTACACTGCTGAGGGGAGCAGCGGGCAGGTCAGGAGAAGTCTGCCACACCATGTGGTCACCTCCAGGGCAGGCGGGGATCGAACTCATGTGGAAGTGGCTTTAGCTTCTTAGTGCTGTGCTTTAACCAGCTGCGCCACCAGGGAGGGCCTGGTTTTCTGTTTTTGTTGCTGTTGTCTTGTAAGTGTGCACTACCTGTTTTAGCGATTGTTCTCCTTGGTTATAGAGATAGAAAAACCTTATAATTCATGTTCTGTTAATTCTATTTGTCCTTTAGTGAAGGGAAAATATTGGATGATGCCTGAAACATTATTTTTCCTTTTGTGGCTTGCACCTTTCTGCAGACATTTTAGAAAATCACTCTACATGCCTAGCTCATGAAGATATTCTCTTTTCTCCTATTAATGCTATGATTTTATCTTTCACAATCTAGTCTTTATCACATTTTTGTCCATGATAGGAAATAGAGAATCCAGGTTTTCCACATAATGAGTCCATTTTTCTAACCCAGTGCACTGTGAGACAGTGAATTACTTATCAAATGTGATATTTTCCAAATACAAATAGTCTCTGTTTTGTCTGTTTCATTCCAATGGCTTAATTACTCTTCTTGTTCCTTAGGAAATGCCATAATATTTGTGTTACTGAGAAAAGCCTGCATGTCTGTACAGAAAGTATACCCTCTTTTTTCTACCTTTTCAGGGCTTACTTAGCTATTCATGGACCTTTGATACATACATATGTTACATAAATGTTACAATACATTTATCAAGTTGCTAGAAAATGAAGCAGAAAATGGGCTATCGTTTAATTGAAAGATTAATTTGGGAAGAACTAACATCTTTATAATATGAATTCACTCCATCCAAGAGTGAATTGTCATCAGTCGTGTGCACCTAAGATCTTATTTTAGACCTTGCTAGTGTTTCAAATTTTTATCCACTGAGACCTTCTGTATTATTTTTAATTCCTACTTACTTTATTAGGGAAACAGCTATTGAGCTATTATTAATCACTTACCTTTGATATGAGCAAACATCAAGTTGGTTTGAGAGAGATGATGGGAATACTGTTCTCCTGAGTGTAGTGGTAAGGGTCGTTGGGCTATATCCAACCAAGAACAGTGCTAGGGACTGGAGTTCCTAGTGTGAACTTTATTTACTTCCCAGTTTTGCTAGAAGCTAACCCTGTCGATTGCAGGACAACTTTCTGATCCTGCCCACCCCACTCCTGTCATACTTTATCCACAGCTCAGACTCTTGTCAACCATCGTCCCCTTTCTCATCTTCCTGAGGACTTAAATTGTGAATCAATACTGAATTTCATCTTAAAGGAAGGCTATATCCAAAGGAATGTGTCATAATATAAACGAGCATACTAAGGATGCATAGTAATGCCAAGAAATGAAATCAATCTAAGTGACAGAAGAAAAGCAACTTACACAAATCCTCGCTACTCTGAGGCTTAGAAACAGAATTTGACTTTGGCTTCTTAATGTCACCCTTGTATTGTCAACAAGCTTAGCAAACTTTGGGTCCAACCCAGTCTCTCTTTTCACTTATTATTTTGACCAGTA